CACACACACACACACACACACACACACACAAAATACCACACATACATGGACATATAATCACACAGACACATAAAGTAAAAATAGCAAAATGTTCACAACTGCTGACTAGGTGATGATTACACAGGTATTCATTTCAACATTTTCTATTGAAAAGTAGGCAGATAACTTCAAAAATGCTATCTTATGCAAGTGCTAAAAATAAATAAATCAAAGCAAACTTGGTTTAAAGCGTCCTTAAAGTTTCATGTATGAGCAACATATTTTTGGAATCATGTTTCCAAAACGAATATTCACACTCTTAAATTGATCAGGAAGTTGCAATCACCAGAACTACTCTCTCATTACTTCTGGGCAAAACCCAATAAATACTTAACAATTAACCATGTGTTACCATGTGTCAGGCACCCTTCTTAGCACGTTTATATATATAATTAACTCATTTAATTCTCTGAACAACTTCATGAGTAGATTAGCCCTACCTCCATTTTTCAGGTAAGGAATAAGCCATACAAGTTGCACCGTAAGTGGCAGAGTCAGTCTCCCAAGCCAGATAAGATAGCTCCAGAATCCACACCCCTTTCTTTTTTCATTTAAGTATAATCACTTTATAATAGTGTGTCAATTTCTGGTGTACAGCATAATGTTTCAGTCACACATATACATACATCCTTTTCATATTCTTTTTCATTATAGGTTACTATAAGATTGAATATAGTTCCCTATGCTCTACAGTATAAACTTGTTGTTTATCTATTTTATATATAGTAGTTAGTATCTGCAAATCTCAAACTCCCAATTTATCCCATCCCACCCTCTTCCCCCCTGGTAACCATAAGTTCGTTTTCTATGTCTGTGAGTCTGCTCCAGAATCCACACTCTTAATGACTCTTCTGTACTGTCCTCTCAGGTAGGGTAACCTATGTTTCTAGCAATGCTGACTTGATTTTGCTGGGGTTATAACATCCTTTGATGTTAGTAATTTTAATAATCTGAAAGTATTATGATATAATCAAACAGAGAATCACAAAATTTAGATACTACTAAATTTACAATGCATTAAAATGGCTCCAGGTATTTAAGTAAATATTTAATTACCTAATAAGATCTATCTATATTCCAACTACTGGATCAATGATTATAATAAACATCTTCATAAACTGAAACATGACCCCATTTTGATAAATACATGACCACATCTTGACTCTCTCGGATAAAGATGGAATTAAAGCAGTTCTCAGCAATAAAAATAATTATTCCTGAGATGGTAAAAATTCTTTTATGCAAAATCTTTAACTTCAGCTATTAAACTGACTAAACAATTTACATAACAGTCTATAACATTTTATGGAAATCTTATTATTCCACATGAAACATTTTCAAGTTGATAAAAATGAAAAATGTTTTTAATGAGAAGGCATCTTAAAAATAATTGATTTAATAGACGTCAATGAGGCTGAAGCAAATTACAAAACAAGATGATAACAGAAAACTATTGTTAATTTTCCTAGTGTTATGGCTATGGAAAAGATCTTTAGTTAGAATTTATGCACGCCCTGCTTTAGTTTGGCACATCAGAGAACTCTCTAAGTTTTTAGTAAACAAAGACCCATGGGCATTATTGCTATACAATGTCAGTCTTTATATTTTATAGGCTTAAAAACAAATAATATTAGTATAAAATTAAATTGTCCATCAAATATTTGCAAGACTGAAGAATATATGTGGAAATATTTTTTACCCCTGGACCACGATAAACAATAATCAAAAAAAAAATCTCTAGTTGGGGTGAGGAACAGGAAAACAGTTCTGTTAAATACAAAGATATGTAAATTTTTACCTGCTTTTTCTTTCAATTAGAATGGCCACATAAGATGCTGGCAAAGCGGCACCAAAGCCGGGACTCCATGAGTAGAATTTTCCAAGTATCTTCCTGAAATTGAAATTTGGAATGTTTGTATGAAATTTCTAGTTGTTCATTTCAGTTATTAAGTAAAAGCTCCCCTTCTCATAGAAGTTCCCATTCTCAGTCCACCTTCTGGCTTAATACCCACAGCACCTCAAATTCAATATGTCCAAACCAAACTCATGATCTCTCTCCCCTGTCTCCATGAACTCGTTCTTTCTCCTCTCTTTTCCCAGGCTAATGACATCAACATCTACTTACCCACCTACGTGTGACCCTTTGAGACATCTCTGTCTCCTCTTTCTCCCTTATTCCGTACGTGAAATCATTCCCTTAAATATTTCCATATGCAACTGATCTCTCAAATTCCTCTCCAACCTACTACCCTTGCCTCAGTTAAGTTCCTTACCGTCTCTTCTTCAGGCTACAACAGCAACCTAACAGGGATGTCTCCTTCCAATAATTTAGTCAGTCATATCCATTTAGACATCCCCAGATCCAACACTGCTCACTAAGCAAACTCTCTATGTTCTCAGCTTCCTTATCTATCAAATAGGAATATTAGTATTATCTATCTCATGTAGTTGTCATGACAACTACATGAGATATTTTCCAGCACCACACATGGCACATAGGAAGTACTCAGAAAGTATTAGCTGTGATCACTACTGTTACCATCATTATTTACTGCTGTTTTTTAACACATGATAGACATTCAACAAATGTCTCTCCTTTTTGCTTCAACAACCCTTGCTAAGTTTTTCTTACATCACTTACTAAAGTATTTTATACTTTTTAGTTATACATGTATAGAAATTTTTTCATTTTCATGTATCCCTTGAAAGAAAGAATCTGCACAGTGTCTCACACATTATAAATGGCCATTGGCTGCCTGGGTTTTTAAAGAGAAAATAGAAAGAAATCTGGAGATGTTAGGAAGACTCTTTTCTCCTTTCAAAGACAATATGCTCCTAAGAAAGGGAGAAGCAGAAAAATTGCAAGAAATTATCTGAACAAAGTTGGTTAACTGCTAAATGATGTATTATAGGGAAAAACATATACTATATACATACAGATAAGGATCAAGAATCACTGATTAAATGATCTTTTCAATTGAAGCTTAGCTTTAAAAAAAAATTAGAAAACCAACATGGGTTATTCTGCAATGGATATCAGAAACTTTCTGCCTGAGAAAACTGGAGGTGGCTCTCCCTCCAACACAAAATCCACAAAGGATGTAACAAGTCATTGAATATAAAAATTAAAGGAAAATAACCCAATGAGTCTGTTACAGGAGGAACACAGATAAGTATTTTATGTTTCTATAACTTAACCAAACAGGTTCATAGAACATAAAGAAATATGCTGCAAGAGCAATTTATTATTGTTTGCCGTGTGATAAAGAGTATCTTACACAGATCTGCAAGTCAATTTAAAGACGTGACTTAATAGTATAACTTTTATCAATTATCTTCTACACAATCTAAAATTTTATAATGTGAAGTTAGTACTTTAACTTGACAAATTAAATAAAAAAACAGTTTGGGTTTTCAACAATCAGTGGGGAAAAAGATAAAAAGTAAACGTCTAATAAACATACTAGGTATGTCACAACACTTAAAACTGAATTCTAATTGCATCTATATTTTGCAAAGCATGTGACACAAGCAATGCATGTAAGACTAAATCAGGACCAAAAGGTTCATCAGTAGAATATGCCAGAAGTTTTATATATAAACATGAGCGTTTTATAGTTCTTTTGAATTTTGCTCACTGCATATGGACCTAATCTATATCATGAACAGTTGCTCTGAATTCCTAATCTATGAAACTGAGAAGCTAAGAAATCCTAGTTAACAACTCAGTAAATACAGTGGGCCTCAGAAAATGAATGATACATTAAAGCACTTTTGCTGTAAAATCACATCAAAAATTTGAAGCTTGTATCTTTAGGCCAAGAGGCCCACAACCCCTGGTTTTACAAGCCTTCTTTGAGATAAATAAATATCATTTCACAGAAAGAAAAAAATAAACAAGCAGTGACCTGCACAACGTTTATATAAACATCTGTTTGTTTCAGTTTCAACAAAGGAACCTGTAATAACCTCCAGTGGTGATTATGAGTACCAACCTTAAAATGCAAAAGAAAGCCATAAACAAGGCCCCATTAGCAGTCAGAAATGCAGCAGATTGTAGGATCTCAGGGAGCAGTTTGTGTAAATAATAGTCTAATTTTCGTTTCCGGAGAATTGCTGCAATCTGGAAAGAAAAAGGCTCTTTTGTTTAATCCAACCAACTTTTCCCACTTAAATTAGTTCTCATGTGGAAGACACTGAATAACAGCACCTATTTAAAAATTAAACTAAGAACTCTGGTATTTTACTGGATCCTCTACAAAAATACAATTTCCAGGATGGAAAAGAAGACACTTTAATTTACTGAAGGTATAATGGGTAAAATAAACACCAAGAAATTACAAACTGGATCACATGATAAGCAACCTCCAAATGCTGAGGTAAATACTTATAATGCCTTAAGAACAGTCTTAAACTGAAAAATAAAACACATTTTTCAATGGAACAATAAAGTCCAATTAAAATGGAAATAGAATGTTAAAACAAAACTACACGACAGAGATTATCAACCTGGATATTAAAGAGCTTCAGTGATAAAAAAAAAAAAAACAGAGAAATTCATTCATTCCGTTTCATAGAGAAGGGGATATGAGCTGGATTTGGAAGAAGAGTAAATTCTCACAGGTCACCAGGAAGAAATACTTTTCTATCACGATGAAACAATATTATTAAAGGAACAGAAGTTAAGACACCAGAATTAAGGAATGAGGGAGGAAATGTAAGAAAGGGCTAGGGTGACTTGAGAAAAGGAAGACCAGAGAACTCTCTGTTCACTCCTCACCATTCCAGATGTAACACCTTCCCTGTGGTCAGTGATCAGCAAATCTAATGGCCAACTGTCAGTTCTTTTCTTACTCTCCCCTCCGAAGACTCTGACCATCACCTACTTCATTCAATTGAACAGTTATTAAGAATTATGCCATACACAGGAAACACAGTGATGAATAAGACTGAATCCCTGCCTTCAAGGAACATAAAACCTGGACATGGAAAGAAACATGTAAACAATAAACTAGAAGATAGCAGTGTGGTTAAGTGCTAGACTAGAGGAAGGACAAACTGCTTTAGAAATACATACTAGGAAATGACAGAAAAGGAGATGAGAGGCAGGTAATAAGGTCTGGAAGCTGGATCTTGACAAACAGGTCAATTCTGACAAAAGACAAGTTTCTGTGGTTTCTGTGACAGTGCATTCTTTTCATTCTCCCATTATATCTCGAAATGCTATTCCTTTGTTAGCATTTCTCACTCAGATCTCTACTTATTCTATATGTGCTTTCTCCCATAGCATCATCTATCATATCAAAGTAGGAATTTCTTTTATAACTGCAATGTCTCCCCTAAATTCTCTATTGGACATGTCAACATAAGATGCACCATAGACATCAAAAAAATCAGCACGACCAAAGTAGAACTTGTTATATTTTCCAGAAATGCCTTTACTCCTGAGTTTCCAACCTCAAGAAATAGCACCACATCCACCCAAATACTTAGAAACAAAATGTTGGTGTCATTTTCAATTACTCCCTGGATCCTCAACCATCTCATCAGTTCTAATGATTTCCTAGTGTATCTTCAGGTTTTAGAATATAATGTCTCTTTCCTTTTAGACTTAACAGTGGGCAGAATATATATTATATATTCTCTGTTATATATTCGAGTAGTTACAGAAAAAATTCCCCTCTGTTCCTGGAAAGGATGAAACAAAACTGCCTATTTGCAGGTTACCTGGTTGTCTGCATAGAAAGTCCCAAGCACTTTACACACACATACAAACCCCTCCTAGAACTAATAAAGCAGTTTAACAAGGGCATAGGATACAAGATAAACATAAAAATTACTTGTATGACTATATAAAAGTAATGAATATATGGACACCCAAATAAAAACTACAGTAGTATTTACGACACTTCAAAAATATGAAATACTTAGGGAAAAGTCGACCACACTTGTATAGGACTTGCATGCTGAAAGCTACACAATGCTGACAAAAGAAATCAAAAAACATACAAATAAATGTTCATAGATAGGAAGATTCAACATGGTAAAAATGTCAATCCTCCTCAAAGTGATACATGAGTTTAACACAACTTCTATTATAATGCCAGAAAAAATTTGTAGATATAGACAAGATTATCCTGAAATTTATATAGAAAAGCAAAGGAATTATAAGAGCTAAAACAACTTTGAAGAAGAGAATAAAGTGGGAAGAATCAGTCTACCCAATTTCAAAGTTTATCACACATAGCTACAGCAATCAGGCTTTGTGATACTGGCAGAGGGGCAGATTAATGAAATACAGTAGAGAACCTCGATACAGGCTCACACAAATACGTCCAACTTATTTTCCACACAGGTCAAGGGCTATTCCATGAGGAAAAGCAGCCTTTTCAACAAATGGTGCTGGAGCAAGTGGACATCCATAGGCAAAAACAAGAAATTAGCCTCAACCAAAGTCTCACATCTTATACAAAAATTAACTCAAAACAGACCAGATTTTTTCTGGTCAAGATGGAGAAGGAGTAGGACCACAAGCTCGCCTCTCCTCTGACTACAACAAAACCACAACCGACTGCTAAACACCAATCAGGAAAAAAGACTGGAACCTAGCGAAAAAGACCTTCTTCAACTGGAAACATAAAGAGGGAACCACAGGGGGACGGTAGAAGAGGCATGCTCACAATATGATCGGGCCCCATACCTCCCACTGTGGGCGACCCACAGGCTGAAGAATAATTAGGTCACAGAGGTCCTCCCATAGGAGTGAGAGTTCTGAGCCCCATGTCAGGCTCCCCAGCCCAGAGTTCCAGCATTGGGAGGAGGAAGAGACCCCAGGACATCTGGTTTTGAAGGCCAGTAGGGCTTAGCTCCAGGAGCCCCATGGGACTGAGGGAAACAGAGACTTCACTCTCTTGGGAAGCATACACAGAATCTCATGCGCGCCAGGTCCAAGGGCAGAGGCAGTGATTTCACAGGAACCTGGGCCAGGCCTACCTGCTAAATTTTAGAAGGTCTCCTTGGGAGGTAGGGGATGACTGCAGCTCACCCAGAGGACATAAAAGCTGGTGGCGGACATTCCAGGAGTGTTTATCTACATGAGCTTTCCTGGAGACTGACATCTTGACTGGATCATTAGCACCAAGACCTAGCCTCACCCAACAGCCTATAGGCTTAAGGGCTGGGAAGCCTCAGGCCAAACAACATACTGGGTGGGAACACAGCCCCACCCATCAGCAGACCTCCTGAGCCACAAATGAATCTAGACACGGCCCTACCCACCAGAGGTCCAGGACCAAGCTTCACGCAGCAGTGGGCAGGCACCGATTCCTCTAGCCACGAAACCTTCATAAGCCTCTAGTCCAGCCTCACCCATCAACGAGGCAGACACCAGAAATAAGAAAACAACAATCCCAAAGCCTGTGGAAGGAATCCACACACACAGGCCATACTCTACACTGGGACTGGCTGGACCCTGTCCCTTGGGTGACAAGAGAGGAGTGTACTGCTGGGACACACAGGACGTCTCCCACAGAGGGCCACTTCTCCAAGGTCGAGAAATGTAACTAACTTACCTAAAAATACAAATAGAAAGATA